TATACACATACATACATACATTCGGTATGTTATATACAAAAATTATACAAATTTTATACGCATTTTTGGTTACCAAATGTAAATAGTTTCTGGCGCGGGCTAAAAGTGATAATACCCCTATAATTTTCTCTCACTTTCGGGATTTTAAGTATCTAGATTTCCTTTTTCCATGATTGCCATAAGGACCACGTTCTCAGCTCAATGGCATCGCTTCTCTGTCTTGCTGTGAATCTTCATTTGTTGCAGCAGATACCCTTTTGCACTGTCAAATGTCCGTCTGCGTTTTTGATTCGTCATGACAAATGATCAAGACTGATTTGCAAATTTACAATACTCATAGTACACCACTAAAAATGAGAACACTATACGTGAAGAAGAGTTCGAAACTAATGGCAAGAAGAGTTCAAAATTAGTGGCAACTGTGAAGTAGTGCGGCAACTTTCGGTTATTGTTTATAATAAAGCAATTAGCCATTAATTCTGAGAGTTATCAATTTCAGATTTCGAAGGCCTAGATCGAATAGAGTATAATGGACTAATATTCCTCCATCATTGTGAGAGAGAAACATCAATGTCTACCTACCATTATAAAAGAAAACTTTTCTACTTCCACTTGTCAGTTTAGTTTTCTATTTCATAAGCGAGAAGCAGCAGCTGATTGTTCTAGTTATACTGGGAATAACAAGTGACCTACTGATGCGCTGAGAAAAGTAGTCTGAACCTATTAAATTACCACAACGTTAACAATTAATGTAACGATTTTGTAAATATACCAAGACCAAAAAATTGCAGCTACAGAGTTGTTCACCATTTAATGTAACGATTTTGTAAATATACCAATACCAAAAAAATTGCAGCTACGGAGTTGTTCACCATTTCCCACATCAAAGTAGTCAAGAATAGGAACATAAGCATAGCAAGAATGTTTCAGATGCCATAATCAAGTTACCATGCAATCACTCTTCATCGGAGATGGTAAAAGATTCAAGTGGTTTCAGAAGTATCCATGGTGTAGTGGTTTCCTGTATACTGCGGATGCCAAGCACGTCTTAAGAGTATATCTAAATGTGATTTTACTGCTACATTGTACTCAATGCATAACACCATCCATTACGAAGATGGTCCTCGAGGTCTTTGCTTTGCATAGCCTAGACTGATAAGCTTTTGCATCAACTTTTTCTCAGCCGCTGCCTGAATCCACAATAAAGGGAGAGTGAGAATCATACCAACAGCTAGGGAGATACGCACAAGATCCAATAAAGAGAAGTCTATGATTCCATGTTGTTATCGGCTATGTAATCTGAAATGACATCCAAATAGAATTTTGGAACAAGGAACACAATTACACAAACAGGCAGAGAACCTAGAAAAGGGAGGATAAACAAAGTGGAAGTAGAAAGAGATCAAACCTCAAGCATGGGGCTGTTCTTGGGGATATTACAAGCTAGTACAACATTAAGTCCAGTCCTGAGAACTGCAAAAAGAGTTATGTCAGACAATATATCAAGAGAAAAATGCGAGAACTGACTTAATTTGGGTGGTGATATACCTAATCTACGGGCAATACCAGCTCCTGTATTATCAGATGTTCCTCCGGTCAAGGAACTCACCGCAATGGTATTGCTCTGCACATGACATAAAGAGTGTAACAACTGAAATAGGCAAGCCAAATCCCAACCATCATCACCCTCTGAAAGATAACATACATCCCCCACTAAAAAAAACTATTTGTTTAAAGGGATATAAAGAAAAGGTTATGTGCGAGTATATTTCTGTAGAGGTTTTTGAAATCTCATTTTGAGTTTTCCTTGTTCTTACTCCAAGTTATTTTCAGTTTTCTTTTTAATTTTGTTTCGGATAACTTCTTATAACCAATATGACTTTTTCTTTAGGAGAATAACCGATATTTATCTCTCTGTACTCACTAACATAATTTCAAAACTTACAGAGACGGACAAGAAAGGTAATAGAAGGAAAAATTGAAGTGCAATATAAGACAAAGTTCCAAACTTACAGGTCTTGCTGGAGCAGCTGCATATAGATTCCCAAATTTGGCTGAACTGCAACCAATCCACGTATATATCTACGAAGGATGAAAAGAGATTATTGGAAGTGAAGAGTAACATGTTTTCAAATTTGAAGAACTACACTTATAATTAACAAAATCAATAACCATAGCAACTAATCAAGAAACTCGTTCTTTCTATACAGTACATCTAAGCGTGTCTTGATTAAAGATGTAAACAGGTCACAAATGTAGCAACAGGATCATTGATGCTCCTTCAAAATGCTAACATTTGTATTATATTATAAATTCTCAATTTTCTGCCGTACTTGCTGTTAACCGCAAACTTCTAACAGTATACACAAATATACAGAATAATCAAAGAACCCCTCAAATTGCAATAGTATGATCTACATAAGAACCTTACTTGAACAGGACCTGTTCTATAGGCTCGTACCACTATATCCATGAGTTCTCGGGAGAAAGGAAACCAAGTCTAGTGGATGATCGTTCTCAGCCCCCAACCATGGGTGCTGGCATGGTCTAATGGCTTCTGACAGACTCTTCAAACTTATAATTAAAAAAATAGTATGATCCATATGGACCCCTTCTATAATCTCAGAGATACAACAACAACTACGCCCCAGTCCAAACAAGTTGGTTTGCTATATGAATTCTCACTGACCATATATATCCAATTAAATTCGTTTCGGGCCAACATACGCAAAACAAAAATAAAAATAGAAATAAAAAGTACTAGAACTTCTCTATATTTTTTACTGGCATAAAATCTATACTAGGGGTAAAAGACTCCCGGAAAGCATAGGACATAAAGTACCCGTACTAACATAACTAAAACATAATCTAAGCTACTATACATCGCCTATATAGATCTGTTTCTACTATTGTGTCATATCTTTTGCCAAATCTATATGGATTTCAAGAGATTGTAGGACTTTCGAGAAAATTTTCTTCCACGTGATTTTAGGTCTACCTCGTTCCCTTTTAACACCTTAACTACCATGGTTTCACACCAACCAATCAGTACATCTGAAGGTCGACGCAAGATAAGACCAAACTATCTCAAGCGCCTCCTTTTTTTTTTGTCCTCAAGGTATGCTATTTGTGCCTTCTGGTGAATATGATTATTTTTAATCTTATCTAATCTTGCATGACCACACATCCATCATATGCTTCTCTGCAACATTCATCTTGTGAATGAGTTAGACTTCAATGGCCCAACATTCTCTCCAATATAACATAGTTGATCTTGTATTGTTCTACAGAATTTACCTCACTTTGGTAAGCATCCTTTTATCATTTAACATTCCAGTAGCATTTCTCCATTTCAACTATTTGACTTTGATCCTATGTGTAACATCTTCATCTATAATCTCAAAGACAAAGAAAAATATTCCAGAGTAGTAAACCACTGTCTCTCAACTAAATTCAGCACCAGTTCGCACATAGTATCAAGTACATGACGAATCAAATGCCATAAGTATTTACATTGAAGTATCTGACTTGTACTTTTAGTACCATGAGTTAACTTCCTTGTGACATCAACTGCTACTTTCTTTCATAACCAATATAGACTTATAAACATCAATCAATCAGTAAGACTCAATCACAACTAAAGTTGGGTTTGGTAAATGAATTCTTTGAAACCCTTTTTGCTCAATTTGGACTCCTATATCATTCCAATACTACTTTTCTCATATAGGATCTGTATACTACTTTTCTCTAGTTTTTTTTTAAAACTAGAGGATCTCTGAATCTCATATTTATTCTTACACTGGTACATAAGCCTTTAACCATACTAAAGCATTCTTGGCCAACAACATAGCTAATGTAAGACTACTACCAGTAACCAAACCTTAACCAAACGAGTTGGTAGTATATACCATTCCTTAGCTTCCATTGCGTTTCGTCCTTAACTAAGTCCACATTAATTCCGTGAAACCGCAGTGTTTTCTGAGACAAATTCCCTCCATGTGATTTTAGATCAACCTCATTTTTCGAATACCTCAGGCCTCAATAACAAAGTGTCAGTATTTATGGACCAGTGGCTGAACTATCTCGGCCGATATTTGCACCATTTGTCGAATGTAGCTACTTCTAATCTTTTCAAATAGTGACTACTTTGGCTTTTCACTAAGTTCTGATAATTAGATAGCAACATAGTTACTTGTACTAGATAAAAAATGGAGTAAGGGAGCTAAGGAAACCTGTTTCTGAAGACGAATGATCTGAAAGTGAAGAGTAGCATCGTCAGAGACTTCAGAAAAGCACGTGACCTGCACGCCACTTCCATCATCACCTTCTTCTGCAATTTTAAACTGATTCATTGTGTCAGTAACAACGTCAACTCTTCCATTGGAGAATGAGGAGGATGATGGTGATTCCTCTAATCCTTCTCGCAAATTCATTCTCAGAAAAACTAGCGAAGAAAATCGAATTGAACTGTGAAGATTAACTAAATCGGTACAACGAATAGGCAAAATCAAAATTTCAGGGTTTAGCAGGGGATTTTGGAGTGTTACACAAGAGATGAGTCTCGGGTCAGCCGTGAAATGTGACGGGTGGGGAAGATCCGAACCATGTTAAGGTGCTATATGCGGTTTAAACGCAAATCGCTAGACGTGTCAAATGGCTTTGATTTACAAGAATGGCCTTGGAAATGAATTTTGATTTACAAGAATAGCCTTGAAAGTAGGTGATCTTGAATTTTTTACGCGTTACCCTGCCCGGCAAACCTTCAGTTTCAAGTTTAAAAAGTTTTGTTCATGCGATAAAACTTTTAAATTTTGATGGTTTGCCCATGAGGCAAATAAGAACAAAAGAATTGCCCATGGAGCAAGGAGGGGAACAGAAATTCAAGATTACCCTTAACCCTTATGATGTCATATTTCTGTAATTTTTCTTCTTGAAGTTGGGGTAGACTTTTTTTTTTTGTGTGTGTGGGGTTGCTAAAATAGACGTATAAGTTAATAAACAAGTCATAACTCGATTTTGTTCAAATATTGTTCACAACGAACATGAATTATAACTTAATATGTTTAACTCAATATTATATTCCATTCGTTTGTTGTTTCTTATAACTTGTCTAATCATTTGAGTGAAAATTTCTTTTTTGGATATAGAGACAAAGCATGTAAGAACCGGGAGAGAAATATACAAAAGAATTCTAACTTTTTCACACGATTTAGGTAGTCTAAGGTTCATTCAAACTTTTGAACAAATCAATTAAAAATTAATATATTTAGTATCAACCCGCTTAAGCTTAGACGTATTGAATAGATTGAAGTTTTTATGTGTTAATTTTTACACCTTTATAATCAATATTTGAAATGATTTGAAGGCAATAAGGGACTATTGTCCAACCCACATGCACAAATAAATAAATATTCAAATGACATGTTTCACGATTAATAGTGTCTAATTTTAATAGTTTAAGCTTTTAAATATAGCAGCTTATATTATATGCTATCAAAGTATGCAAAGGTTAAGAGTTTAAAAGTTTCAGTCAGCCACAAAACCAAATACCCTAGTATGCTTAGCTTAACTTGAAAAAATATTAAAGTGTCAGCGTGAAGGAGCATAGTGAGGATATACGATATAAATAAATGAGATTGTTCTCATAATTCAATAACTAATTTAACATTTTAAATGAAACGGTTCTCACAGCTCAAGATTCGTGTATATTCTTACTTTCAAAAGCTTATTCCGCTGACATATCCGTCTCTTCGAAAGATAAAAATGATGACTCTAAAATTTAGGGAATTTGTGAATCAATTGTCATGACCAGAATAATGGGATGAGTAGAAAATTAGGTGAGGTTCAACCAAATGTCCAAATTTATTTCTTATAGGTTAATAGCAATTAGCAAGTTATGCTTATCAATGCCATTTGTTGTATTCTTGATCAGTTGGAAGTTGAAACCGAATTGCTAGAGCATTCCAACCATATCTTTAATTTTCCTACTGGATTTCTTTCAAACGTAAAATTTACAACTTAGTTATTGTTTTGTCTCCACGTAAAACAAGTGAGCTGGAAAAGCTTCTATTCCTATATCTTTATACGTAAGAAACCCCATTAATTATATCTTTGTCTTGATTATTACAAAGATCTTGTCTCTTCTTTTGAAATTACGCTCATGGCTTGTTTGGTCAAACTTTTCCAAAGCCTAAAGTATTTTTTTTCTTCAAAAAAAGTATTTTTTTTTTCAAAGTTGAAGTATTTGGCCAAGCTTTTAGAAGAAAAAAAAAGTGCTTTTGAGGAGAAGCAGAAACAGTTTTAAAAAAGCGGAAAAAAGTAACTTCTATCCAAATGTCGATTTTTTAAAAAACACTTTTGAGAAAAATACACTTAGAAACAGTTTTTAAAATCTTGGACAAACACAATTACTGCTCAGAAGTGCTTTTTAAATTAATTAGTCAAACACAAACTGCTTCTCACCAAAAGTACTTTTGAAAAGCACTTTCTTTTCAAAATAAGTTGATATTTACAGTTTGGCCAAACAGGCTATCAGTGACGCTACCATTTGCATTAATTGCGATGTCTTAGAGGACAATACCTTTGTAGGACGATATTGCTGAAAATAACATAAAGTAGGGAAAGGAAGTAAATACAAAGTTAAAATGATAGATTTGGAATTGGAAAATGCCATAGAAACCCCCATAACCTAGACTCAACACTTGTCAAATGCATTCTTCATTGGCCACAGCCCACAAATAGATGTTTAAGACTAATGCAACTTATTGGAGTGCTAAATAAAGGGTGTTTAACGGGTGGGCCGGGCCGGGCCGGACTGGGTAGGTATTTTTTGTACCCGTACGGGTTATGGTCCGGGCCGGTTACGGTTGGAGCTTACCGGATTTAACGGGTTCGGGTTCATCCGGGTAAAAATTGAACCGTAAGGGTTACGGGTTGAGGGGGTCGGGCCGGGTTTAATGTATTTTTTTAATTTTTTTTTGGTATTTTGTATAACTATTGTAAGTTATATTAATACTTTGTATTAATATAAAGAATACAAGGAAGATGGAAAAAAATTGCACTTATAAATTGCAAGTGCTACATTTATTTCAAAATTCAAACTTACAAATTGAAAGGTTTACATTTAACAACAAGTAAATTAACCAAAAAAAGAGTAAATTCAAAGGTTTTGCATTGCCTTAGTAAGTTCTTTATAATCAATATGAACTGAGTGACCTTCTTCTGGAGTGTTAAATTCGGATGGGTTACCATGTGTTAATATATCTCCAAGTTCCTCGTCTTCTGGGCTATCAACATGTTCACGTCCTAGATTTCTTCGTTCCGATCTAATCCAATCTCTGAAACATACTAAAACTTCCAAAGCATTGCTTCCCAATGAGTGACGGGTGTCTCCAAGTTGTTGTCTTGCTTGGCTAAATGCACTCTCTGATGCAACAGTTGAAATTGGCACATTCAGCACGTCCCGAGCCATAGCGAAAAGAACAGGAAATTGCTTTCCATTCTCATACCACCATCCCAACGGTGAAAATTCCTTTGTGCGAGACTCTTTTTGCTTCTGCAAGTAGAATTGATGTTCATCAATGTTCCTGCTACTGGTTTGAGTGTTAGAAAATATAGAAAAAATATTAAAACTATCATGGCCTTCTTCATCATCCACAGTAGCAGAAGTGGTACAGTGCATAGTGGGATTAACATTGCCTACACTACGAGCAGCATCATCAATTACATTTGCATAATAATTATAGCTTGTTCATACAATTATATAAATCTGGGGTTTCAGTTGGTCCAATCTCCATATAAGTATATAAAACATTCATTAATTGTTGACAATCAGACATCTTAATAGAAGGATTTAAAACAGCACCAATTAAGTAAATCGGAGGAATTGGAAAGAAATAATTTTTGAATTTTGTTTGTATTTTTTCCACAACATCCCTATATTTCTTCTTAAATTCAAAGAGTAGAAAAGAAATTTCATCTATATGTACTAAAGCCATAGTAACAGTAGGGTAATATGCTCCAGAAAACTCAACAGTAGCTGTATAAAATTTATGTAAAAATTTAACAACATCATTAATGACCTCCCAAGTAGTAGTTGTTAACATACGGTTTGGATCAGTACAATGCGCATTAGCAACTTCAGTTATTGGGAATCTATATTTGTAGCAACATTTTAAAAATATATATGTATAATTCCATCTAGTAACAATTTCGTCTGGCATGAATCTGGGTTTAAGGTTATACTGGACACACTTATTCTTAAATTCCTTTATTCTAGATTGTCTATTATTTTCTTGAATAACACCAACTGCTCTTCTAACATGAGTAATCTCAGTTGAAAATAAATCAAGGCCACTTTTAACAATTAAATTATAAACATGACATGCACACCTAACATGAAAAATTTCATCAAGAGGTGGTTGCAAATGCAGTTTTAATATTGAAATTGTGGCATTATTGTTAGAAGCTTTATCAAAAGACATACACAATACTTTTTGCTTGAGATTATAAAATTCAACAACTTCACAAATAGTACTACTTATAAACACAGCAGTATGCCTCTGATCTTCATCATATTTAAAAGTGATAATACGTTTTTGCATACAAGTAGTATCATCTATCCAATGACATGTAATTGTCAAATAATCATTTTCATTAACAGCATGGCCAATATCAGAAGTTAGAGAAACTCTACAAGGAAGGTGGCTAAACAAATAACGTATGTATGTTTGATATTGTCCATGAAGTCTAAAGATATCAGATCTACAAGTACTTCTAGGGATACCTTTAAATAAAGGATTGTAAATCCTTTGAATATACATAATAAGATATGATGAAGAAGCAAAAGAAAAAGGTAGACAACCCAAAGCAATCATTTTTGCTAACTCCTCATGATCCTCATTTTATCATATTTCACAAGACCTCCAGTAGTAGGGTTTAGAGTTGATTGATTTCCATCTCCATCAGATCCCCATTCTATAGGATGCTCAATTCTCATATGTCTACTAAGTTTTTCAGTCCCCCTAATTGTCCCCCAGTCTTATGTTTAAAAGTATCATTACAAAGTTTGCATTTAACTCTATCAGTACCTTCTATTTCCTCAAAAAATTTCCAAACCTTACTTCTTTTTCTACGATTACTAGTCGGGGCCACAGGTGGTCTACTACTAGCACCACGACCACCAGCCCTGCTAGCAGCTCCAACACTACTAGGTGTAAGTGGTATCTCGTCTTCCATTTCTAATTCATTATCATCTATACCAAAATCTTCCTGTAATTGTTCATAATCTATATTATTATCAGGTAATGTTTCAGGAATATTTGGAGAGGTATTTAAATTACTACCAGATGCTGAAGCTGAAGTACTACCTCTTTTTTTATTTCCCCGATTTGTAACCTTGTTACAAAATCTTTTGCAGCATTAGACATATTGTAAAAATTTAACTACTAGCAACAAAACAAATAAATATGCAAATAAAATAGTAAATAAGAGAAAGAGTTGGAGGGAGTGCACCGAATTCGGCAATAAATTGAGCACTTGATGATTTCACAACTCTAATATTACCACGAAGAAACGTCAATTGTTCCAATTTTGAAGTTCAATTGTTCAAACTTCAAATAATAAATACTAAGATAAATTAAATTCCAAAAAAAAAGAGC